AGACTCACAGAGACACACAGATACATGCGGAGACACACAGAGGCACACGGAGACACTGAGACACACAGAGACACACAGAGACACGCAGAGACACACAGAGACTCAGAGACCCACAGAGACACACAGAGACTCACAGAGACCCACAGAGACACACCGAGACCCGCAGAGACACACAGAGACACACAGAGACTCACAGAGACACACAGAGACCCGCAGAGTACCCCACAGAGACTCACAGAGACCCACAGAGACTCACAGAGACACACAGAGACTCACAGAGACACACAGAGACTCACAGAGACCCACAGAGACACACAGAGAACCCCACAGAGACTCACAAAGACACAGAGACCCACATAGACACACAGAGACTCACAGAGACACACAGAGACCCGCAGAGTACCCCACAGAGACTCACAGAGACCCACAGAGACTCACAGAGACACACAGAGACTCACAGAGACACACAGAGACTCACAGAGACACACAGAGACTCACAGAGACCCACAGAGACACACAGAGAACCCCACAGAGACTCACAAAGACACAGAGACCCACATAGACACACAGAGACTCACAGAGACCCACAGAGACACAAAGAGACCCACAGAGACTCATAGAGAGATTGAGAGAGAGGACGTCACATACACACAGCAAGATGGTGCACATCCAATGGAGAGAGATGGGGTCGCGTCATTTGACCATTCGCATCACACACAGATAGAGAGAGGACAACACGATGTAGAATACAACACATCACACACATCACATCACACAGAGAGAGAATACAACACATCACACTGTGAGTCTCAGTGATTAACACTGAACCCTGTGGGAGCCTCAGTCTGACTCTGTGAGTCTTAGTGATTAACACTGAACCCTGTGGGAGCCTTAGTCTGGCTCTGTGAGTCTCAGTGATTAACACTGAACCCTGTTGGAGCCTTAGTCTGGCTCTGTGAGTCTCAGTGATTAACACTGAACCCTGTTGGAGCCTTAGTCTGGCTCTGTGAGTCTCGGTGATTAACACTGAACCCTGTTGGAGCCTTAGTCTGGCTCTGTGAGTCTCAGTGATTGACACTGAACCTTGTGGGAGCCTTAGTCTGGCTCTGTGAGTCTCAGTGATTAACACTGAACCCTGTGGGAGCCTCAGTCTGGCTCTGTGAGTCTCAGTGATTAACACTGAACCCTGTGGGAGCCTCAGTCTGGCTCTGTGAGTCTCAGTGATTAACACTGATCCCTGTGGGAGCCTCGGTCTGGCTCTGTGAGTCTCAGTGATTAACACTGAACCCTGTGGGAGCCTCAGTCTGGCTCTGTGAGTCTCAGTGATTAACACTGATCCCTGTGGGAGCCTCAGTCTGGCTCTGTGAGTCTCAGTGATTAACACTGAACCCTGTGGGAGCCTCAGTCTGGCTCTGTGAGTCTCAGTGATTAACACTGAACCCTGTGGGAGCCTTAGTCTGGCTCTGTGAGTCTCAGTGATTAACACTGAACCCTGTGGGAGCCTCAGTCTGGCTCTGTGAGTCTCAGTGATTAACACTGAACCCTGTGGGAGCCTCAGTCTGGCTCTGTGAGTCTCAGTGATTAACACTGAACCCTGTGGGAGCCTCAGTCTGGCTCTGTGAGTCTCAGTGATTAACACTGATCCCTGTGGGAGCCTCAGTCTGGCTCTGTGAGTCTCAGTGATTAACACTGAACCCTGTGGGAGCCTCAGTCTGGCTCTGTGAGTCTCAGTGATTAACACTGAACCCTGTGGGAGCCTCAGTGAGGCTCACAGAGCCAGACTGTGAGCCTCACTGAGGCTCACAGTCTGGCTGGTGGGGGGGGGGGGTGTGGGGGTGGTGGTGCTAATTAAGCTGGGTGAGTGCACTGACAGTCTACAGTGTAGACTGTAGCCTGGTAATTAAGCTGGGTGAGTGCACTGACAGTCTATAATGTAGACTGTAGCCTGGTTATTAAGCTGGGTGGGTGTACTGGCAGTCTATAATGGAGACTGTAGCCTGGTTATTAAGCTGGGTGGGTGTACTGGCAGTCTATAATGTAGACTGTAGCCTGGTAATTAAGCTGGGTGAGTGTACTGACAGTCTGTAATGTAGACTGTAGCCTGGTTATTAAGCTGGGTGAGTGTACTGACAGTCTATAATGTAGACTGTAGCCTGGTAATTAAGCTGGGTGAGTGTACTGGCAGTCTACAGTGTAGGCTGTAGCCTGGTTATTAAGCTGGGTGAGTGTACTGACAGTCTATAATGGAGACTGTAGCCTGGTTATTAAGCTGGATGAGTGTACTGGCAGTCTATAATGTAGACTGTAGCCTGGTTATTAAGTTGGGTGAGTGTACTGGCAGTCTATAATGTAGACTGTAGCCTGGTTATTAAGCTGGGTGAGTGTGTGATGCCGCCGCCACGAAGCCATTCAGCAGGCGCCCCAGCTACGACCTCGCCACCACCAAGCGATGGAGCCGACCCCTTGTCCCCCTCACCTCACCTCACATGAACACACCCGCACGCATTTCCCCCCCCCCCCCCCCATAGAGCTCCGAGGGGAGGTCACCTGGCCGACCTGTTTTTATCCGAGAAACCCTTATCGGGATTAACTCTCACGGTTTCCGGCGATCAGGGAATTGGATGACCTCCCCCGTGCTACGTTGCGCCGCGGCGCTGCGATCAGCCTTAATATGGTGTGGTCGCGGCGTGGGGCATTCGGCCACCGCGGTTGAGGCGCATTTCCCCCCACACACGCGAGTATCGACGGGGCAGGCAGAGGGAATAAGCATTGTGATGGAGGAGCATCATTAGAAAACACGCAGCGCATCTGAACTGCATGATCAGGCACCCCCGCACAGGCAGCGGAGGGACGGCATAATTACGCTCGGGCACGCAGGCACCATTGTTAGGGGAGTTAAAGGATAAGGCTGTTAGTATAAATAATCGGGAGAGCGGGGTCACGCGGGCAGCCGTGCACAAATTCCCACGGCGCACCTTTGTAATGGACGCCGCCGCATAATCTGCAATAACAAAGGCATGCGTGAGAAAGGAATTAACTTGCGGAACATCCGATTAGCATATCGAAGGCCCACGGTACGTGGGAAGGGGGTAGGGGCCTGAGTCCGGGGAATTAGGATAAAAGGGAGCGTAGCGAGGTAGAGCTCTCTCTTACTCCGAGAAGCCAGCGTCCAAGACGGCCCCCAGCTCTGCCCTCCGGACGTCCGTGCGACGTGTCGAGGCAAGCAGCGAGGAAAACCCACGGAACGTCGAGTGCCTCAAACCGTGAGTAAGGAGGTAAAAGTATTTCGTGAACGATAAATAGGGAATAGGTCCCGGGATAGTAGAGTAGGCAGCCTCGTCGATTCATACTGACTCAACAACCAGTCCCGGGTAGCAGACAATAAATCATTAACAGCTGATCGTGGCCTCGTGTGATCTCGTATTATAAGTGTGAACGCGTGTGGTACTGTGTATGCGTAAGCTCGCGGCGTGCGTAATCGGCATACCCCAGGTGCGCGATAATAACGTGAGCGGCCAGCAGGCGGCGAGCGCTGCGCAGAGCGGCACAAGAGTGGGTATCGCGTGTGGAGCTGTATGCGTGTGTGCGCGCACGTTCACTACGTGTATAATACAGGTGCGCGATCCTAACGTGAGTGGTCTGTGTTGAGTGAGTGCCGCGCAGAGCTGTGTGTGGGTGTGCGCGTACGTAATTAACCATGCCTACTACGCGGACCCGCGGGGGAGGGGAATCCTCGAGCGACGGCTCTCACCCCATGGGTGAAGAACCCAACAGCGGTTCGCCTAGTAGCGAGGGGGCGAGTAATGAGGTTAACCCGGCCGTTAGCGGTACAGAGGGAGGGATCTCGGGGGCCAGCGACCCCCACAAGTGCGACGTACAGGCGTGCCGGGATGACCGTCTCTTCCAGCAGCTCGGCCAGCTCATCGAGTCCTCGAAAAGCATTTCGTGGACAGACACGAGCGCAGGTAGCGAGAGACGCGACGAGATGGTGACCACCGGGACACGGACGAGACACGGGCACACGCTGACGCCGCAGTCAAGGAGACGTGACGCGTCACTCGCAATGAGGCTGAGCCACGAGACGCAAAGTCGCGCTCACCGGCGGTGACGTCACAGCGCGCGGCGGTGACGTCACAGCGCGCGGCTGTGGACGGAAGTCGGCGGGGGACGTCCGTTGGTGACGTCACGCGATTTTGGCGCGTCCATTCGAGGCACAGGAAACCAGGAGATCCAGTCCGGGCAAAGGGAATCCAGTCCGGGTCATAGGAAGTCAACACAGGCATACCGAGTCCAGTCCAGGAACAGTGAATCCGGTCAGGGCATAGGAAGTCCAGTCCGGGCATAGTGAGTCCACTCCGGGCATAGGAAGTCCAAGTCCGGGCATAGTGAAAGTGAGTCCAGTTCGGGCACAGGAAGTCCAGTCCGGGCACAGTGAATCCAGTCCGGGTCACAGGAAGTCCAGTCCGGGCACAGTGAATCCAGTCCGGGCATAGGAAGTCCAGTCCAGGCACAGTGAATCCAGTCCGGGTCACAGGAAGTCCCCACAGGCGGAGCGAGTCCAGTCCAGTCAGAGTGAATCCAGTCCGGGTCACAGGAAGTCCCCACAGGCAGAGCGAGTCCAGTCCAGGCAGAGTGAATCCAGTCCGGGTCACAGGAAGTCCCCACAAGCGGAGCGAGTCCAGTCCAGTCAGAGTGAATCCAGTCCGGGTCACAGGAAGTCCCCACAGGCAGAGCGAGTCCAGTCCGGGCACAGTGAATCCAGTCCGGGCATAGGAAGTCCAGTCCGGGTCACAGGAAGTCCAGTCCGGGCACAGTGAGTCCAGTCCGGTTCACAGGAAGTCCAGTCCGGGTCACAGGAAGTCCAGTCCGGGCACAGTGAATCCAGTCCGGGTCACAGGAAGTCCCCACAGGCAGAGCGCGTGGAGTCTGTTGGGGGGGAGTGACGTTTCTGCTGTTCCCGCTTCACGGCAAAAGTGGCGCTGTGGAGGTGAGCAGAGAGCAGCCACTCACCAATGTGTAGAGTCAGATTGGTGAGTCTGTGGGGAGTGGGTGGTGGGGTGAGTGGGTGGTGGGGTGAGTGTGTGGGGAGTGGGTGGTGGGGTGAGTGGGTGGTTGGGTGAGTGTGTGGGGAGTGGGTGGGTGGGGTGAGTGGGTGGTGGGGTGAGTGGGGTGGTTGGGTGAGTGGGTGGTGGGGTGAGTGTGTGGGGAGTGGGTGGTGGGGTGAGTGGTGGGGTGAGTGGGTGGTGGGGTGAGTGGTGGGGTGAGTGGTGGGGTGAGTGGTGGGGTGAGTGGTGGGGTGAGTGGGTGGTGGGGTGAGTGGGTGGTTGGGTGAGTCTGTGGGGAGTGGGTGGTGGGGTGAGTGGTGGGGTGAGTGTGGGGTGAGTGGTGGGGTGAGTGGTGGGGTGAGTGGGTGGTGCGGTGAGTGGTGGGGTGAGTGGGTGGTGGAGTGGGTGGTGGGGTGAGTGGTGGGGTGAGTGTGTGGTGAGTGGGTGAGTGTGTGGTGAGTGGGGTGAGTGGTGGGTGAGTGGGTGGTTGGGTGAGTGGTGGGTGAGTGTGGGGTGAGTGGGTGGTGGGTGAGTGGTGGGGGAGTGTGGTGGTGGTGGTGAGTGGTGGGGTGAGTGGTGGGTGAGTGGGGTGAGTGGTGGTGAGGGTGGGTGAGTGGTGTGGGGAGTCTGTGGGGATGGGTGGTGGGTGAGTGGTGGGGTGAGTGTGTGGTGAGTGGTGGGGGGTGAGTGGTGGGGTGAGTGGTGGGTGAGTGGGGTGAGTCTGTGGGGAGTGGGTGGTGGGGTGAGTGGTGGGGTGAGTGTGTGGTGAGTGGGGTGAGTGTGTGGGGTGAGTGTGTGGTTGGGTGAGTGGTGGGTGAGTGTGGGGTGAGTGGGTGGTGGGGTGAGTCTATGGGGAGTGGGTGGTGGGGGTGAGTGGTGGGGTGAGTGTGTGGTGAGTGGGTGGTGGGGTGAGTGTGTGGTGAGTGGGGTGAGTGGTGGGGTGAGTGTGTGGTGAGTGGGGTGAGTATGTGGGGTGAGTGTGTGGGGAGTGGGGTGAGTGGTGGGGTGAGTGTGTGGTGAGTGGGGTGAGTCTGTGGGGAGTGGGTGGTGGGGTGAGTGGTGGGGTGAGTGTGTGGTGAGTGTGTGGTGAGTGGGTGGTGGGGTGAGTGTGTGGTGAGTGGGGTGAGTGGTGGGGTGAGTGTGGGGTGAGTGGTGGGGTGAGTGGGTGGTGGGGTGAGTGGGTGGTGGGGTGAGTGGGTGGTGGGGTGAGTGGTGGGGTGAGTGGTAATTTTAATACGCGTTGTCTTTTAAAGTGATTGCTCTACACCAGAGCCCGCAGCCTGCTTGAAGGCCTCGTCTCACCGCCGGTGCCAGACCAGAGAACAACCCCCAAGACGAGCGGTACAAGCGCAAGGCGCTGTCCTGCAGTGTTGGGTAAGTGCCGTTGATAATCGATTATCCGCGCTGCTGCTGCTGCTTCCAACGTTATCCGGCGGTCCCGAGCCGATCCGGTGAAACCGCTCCAAAGATCGGCGCTGTTTGCGTGACAAAAAAACAAGCTTCGCTTGATTTCAGTGTCAAATGTATTATATAACTTATAGACTACATGGAACTTAATGAAGATACTGCACTTGAAGACGAGATTAGAGTGGTAAGTACGGTACCGTTAATACGCTAACCTTTAAAGTAGGACATTTATTTATGCCAATTTCACATAGTGAACAAATGTAATGCACTAAACAGACATATGACAACAGCTACAAACATAATGCCGTGCAATAATGTGCAAAAATAAGCAGCTAAAATTATGATGATTAGTGATTATCCATCGGAATTGTTGTTATTCTGTCTCTCACTGTTCAAATAAACCTACCATTAAAATTATAGACTGATCATTTCTTTGTCAGTGGGAAAACGTACAAAATCAGCAGGGGATCAAATACTTTTTTCCCTCACTGTACGTTGAACTTCTATTGCACCCTACGTGGCCAACCGCGATAATTGGAGGTGCGGGGGAAGGACAACAAACTACACACACAAGAAGCAGTTCTAGAGAAATGAGTTTGCCAATCGAGATGAATTGAAAGTTGCACAGCTCCTAACGTCGGAAGGAAGAGCATTCCAGACGGCCGCAGAAGCTCATCTGAAAGCGCCGCGTGACGACCACCGTCTCGGTGCCGACGTGCCCCGAATGAGACGAATCCCAGTCCAGAGTGTGTTGCCTGCCGTACGTCTGCAAGTCGCGACTGATCACCTCAAAAGTGTTGCCACCTTTTGGCGTCATCTGGTCCAACCCATGTGAGACTAGGCTCTAAGGAAAGCTGTCTCGGGTGTGGACCAATCAACTTCAAGGACAGTGCGTAACTTTATCAGTTATGTTTTTGTTTGCATCATGACTGCAGGTATTGTGGTCTATGCAAACATGACTCCTCGTAAAAAAGGTGTCAGTTTTGTTGCCAGATAGAAGGGTAAAAAAACAATTATCATATTTTTTACTGGCAAATGAGGTTCCAATAGTGTTGCTGCAAGTTTTAACATGAAACGTGCTGAGATTTATTTTTTAAACAAAACGAAATGTTGTGTTTTTTGCCTTTTCAGGGATGGTGTGACCACTGGTCAAGTTTAGCTGAAAGAGCCGATCGATAAAAGGTCCCATTCGTCTTTCCCAACCGCTCTTCAACTCACGTCCGGTGACCATGAATCCGTCTCGCGGTGGGAGAAGCTGCCTGAACCACCGCCACCACCGCCACCACCGGCTGGAAGAGGAGGAGGAGGTCTCGCTCCACGCCAGCTCCGCCTGCGCCGCAGACGACCTCCTCGGCAGCGGCGGAAAGCCGTCGCCTCCGTTGGCGGCGGGGGAACGGGCTCGCCAGAGTCCAGCGCGGCGCCCGAGCGACTCTCACTGCGCAGCGCTCGGAGAGCAGGCGGCGGCGGCGCGTGAGGCCCGTCTGGAACGCACCGGCAGCAGCGGCGCCGTCCGCAAGCGCTCCGACAGCGCGGGGTGCGGCGTGGGTGTCCAGGAGCTGGCGCCGGAGGCGAGGTGCTCGCGGGGCGGCGGTGGCGAGGGAGACGTGGCCGCCTCGAGACGGAGCGCCGGGGAGAAGGAGGCGCAGCTTCTCCGCAGGCTGAAGTCTGCATTGGTCGTGTCGGAAGTTGACGGGGCTCAGCTGCGGGCTCGCTGCGAGCGCCTGGAGGACGACCTGAGCGAGAGCGTGAGGACGGGGTTGGCCGCCTGGCACGAGGCGGACAGGCGGGCGGTGCGCTGCCGGCAGCTCCAGCGCGAAGTGCGGCAGCTGCGGGAGTCGCTCGGAGCCCTGCAGGAGGTGAGGAAGCGCCGTCGTCTCGTCGTCGCTCTCTCCTCGCCTGATGCGTGCTCATAGTGCTGAACGGTCTGAGTATGATTCATGACTGGATCGGCCATAATGCGCCCGAGTTTGTGACACGTAAGAAGCCGGGACTCATGGCGGGCTACGTGCTGGATCCCACGTCCGTGCCCCTCGCCTTCGGAAACTCCCGTTGACCAGTCCGGCGAAGTATGGTCAAATCACCCCCACGGACTCCGTGGCGTGAACAGGGCCTCACCGATCCAGCGGATTGACAAAGGGCTTTGCATGGATTTCCTTTCTGTATAAATAATTGAAATTCTGCCTATTACCAAATTACGCTAAATGCACCTGATCTCATCAGATCTCAGAGGCTAAGCAGAGTTGAACCTGGTTAGTACTTGAATTCTAAGACCTTCAGAGGTCAGAATAAGGTGGTGTTGAGTGTGACACTTTTGTATTTGTGGGTTGTTTTCTCTGGGTGCCGTTTTTTTGTTTTCCCCACACGAAGCCAAACACTCGTGGTATTAGCAAAAAGGATTGCAAAGCGTCACGCTCCAGCAAAAGTCTTGAGACTCAGTGGGGCTTTGCCGAGCACTATTTGCCACACGTCAACACGTTCCTTCGGAGTGGGCAGGTAGGAACTTGATTGGACAGCGCATTCGTGCACGACAGACAGACACATAATCCCTGGTGGGCAAGTGTGGAACCTGTTCCTACCTGTGTACAAGATAACTTGACTTGAGGTAGCCAGGCAGACAGCCAGGTAGCCAGCCCCCTTCACTATCGGCCCCTCCCCCTTGCTTAGGCCCCTCCCCTGACCCCCCCCCCCCCCTCAGGCCCCTCCCTTGACCAACCCCCCATATCCTTAGGCCCCTCCCCTGACCCCCCTCCCTTAGGCACCTCCCCTCTCCGTACCCGGCAGGAGGTCTCCACCAATCAAAGAGCTGTGTGTATTATATATTTATTTATGCACGACAGACGACAGTCAGACAGACAGACAATAAATCCCTGGTGGGCAGTGTGGAACATTGTTCCTACCTGTATTAACATCGTGGTGTATAGGGACTCCTCTACTTACAAACATTCGACTCGCGAACTTTGAGAGATACGAAAAAAACCTGTTCGTATGTCCAGTTGCCTGTTGGGACCTCCGAGTGGCATCTACAGGAGATGATACAACTTGTAAACGTGAGAATTATTTTAATGTGTTTAATTTTTATTATTTTATTACTTCCCTTCTACGTGACTTTACCGAAAGAACAAAGAAGTTGTAAACCCATGCACGTGTTGAGTGTACACGCCGTACAACATGTTGGGAATCGACAGGAGTAGAGTTGGACTTTCGAACAAATC